TTGATTATTTAGGAGCATGTTGTTAAGCCTCCATGTGTTTGTGAGCCTTTTTGCTTTCTTTGTACAGTTTATTTCTAGTTTTATGCCTTTGTGGTCTGAAAAGTTGGTTGATAGGATTTCAGTCTTTTGGAATTTACTGAGGGTCTTTTTGTGGGATATTGGCTACATTTTATACCTTTCTTTCACTTCATACATATTCAGAATTAATGGTGACACATCTTCCTATGTAGGAAGAGTGGTGTCACTTTTAGTTTCCTATCCCTCAAACAGGGAAGCTTTACATGGCTCCCTAACTCTGAGGGCTTCCTCTCCCAGCCCCAGTGGTTCTTTGTTAGTATGTGGGTCTGTCAAGGAGGAGTGTTTACCTAAGTGCCAGGGTAACCCTGAGGTGGAGTCTGTAGTCATAGTAGTATCTATGAGCTTGCTTTCTGAGGTTTTATTATTAGAAAATATTTTCACTCAGCTGTCCCTTTCTTTCCTGTCCCTTAAATTGGAAAAAAAGGGATACACTCAAGAGTACCATTTCCAGCTTTCCCTGTCTTTGACCCACTGACCAGCCTAGGCTGTTTGCTTCTGATTATTTCTGGGGGAATGTAAGGTTCCTCATCTCTATCCTTGACTTGAAGCCTTGGGCACAAGGCTGAGATCTTAGCACTGGAGTTTCAGGGCTAGGATTCTCCATCATTCTTATATACCTCATTTAACAGCTGGGAAAACTGACACCCAGAGAGAAGAAGTACCTGAGCTTCCACTGACTTTCTCGCCTAGGAACAGCATGATGTAGTGGCAAGAGTAAGCACACTTTCTGAATCTGCAGAATTGGGGTTGGGTCATGGAACTCTAGCTAACTAACTGGATGACCTTAGCTGATCACTTGATCTCTCTGTACCTCAGACTATAAAATGAGAGAAAGAATATCTACCTCTAGGGCTATTGTGAGGTTCAGAAGAGGTAGGGTGAAAGTAGGTAACACAATCTCTGACCTATATATGTGTTCAGTAAACATTAATTCTCCTGAATCCTGGACCACACTGTCCTTTGTCCCCATCTTCACATAATCCCTGGAATATACAGTCCTGTGCCCATCGCTTAGATGTGGTTTGCCTTTTGTTACATGAGTTTTGAGTACACCTTCATCAGTCTCCTCCACTGATAGTAAGCTTCTAGAGAACAGGGGCCAAGTTTGGTTTGTTGACTGACATACACCCCCACATACCTCTGACTTAGCAGAGTTACCATACGGAAGGAGTGCTTTGAAACTCTGCAGAATTGAATTAACTAGGAGTCAGGTGTCTTGGTACTTCTTTTGTGTCTGACTCTATGTAGCAAGGAGAAAAAGTGGTTTCAGGCTCTCTGGGTAACAGACCAAGGAAGCATGTGGTCATAAAGTTTCCAATTGAATCAATAGATTTTAAGGAACTGAGAAGAGAAGAAAAAACAATTTAAGAGAGGGAGTAGATTCTCTTTATTTTCTTCTATTATCATCTCTTTCTTGCCCTCTTTTGTCCCCTTTTACTCATCTGGGAAACAGAAACTTTTACCACCTACTCAGGCTTACTCTTCAGAGACTAAGAGACTAGAGCTGGGGTAAAAGGCTGGGACAGAAAGACGGATTCATAGAGAAAAAAAAGGATAAAGAGAAAGAACAAACTTCATGGCAGCTGATGCCCCTAGGGCCAGAGGGCAACTGGCATGGAGGGACTATAGCAGTCCTCGGTGGTGGGGCTCATTTGACCTCAGGATAAACAAGAGTACCTGTCTTTCCACCTCATGGAGCCTTTCAGGATTCGCAGGACTGCCTCCCTCTATCCCTCCTTCCCATGAAGTCCTTTCTGTCTTCATCCTTCCCCAGTCCACACCCAGCCCTAGGTGCCTCTGGGCAGATGACAGGGCTATCCTTCCTCCCTGGCTGCCTCTCACTATCACATGTCCTTCCCAGGGAAAGGACATCCTAGACAGGAGCTCGGAGCTGATCTACACTGGGGAGATGGCCTGGATCTACCAGCCCTATGGCCGCAACCAACAGCGGGTCTTCTTCCTGTTTGACCACCAGATGGTTCTCTGCAAGAAGGTAACCCCAACCCCTTCTTCCCTGAGAAAGATTGGCACCTCAGGGGCACCAGCCCCTCCCTCTCCATCATCCCCAGCTCCCAATGAAGTGACCATTACAGTAGGCAGGAAAAGACACCAGTGGTTTCTAATTATGTGATCCCTTCTTTAACTTTTGCTGTCCTCTCTATCTCCTTGTCACTTTTCTTTTGAAAAATCTAGATAAGACTCTTTGTTCTCTTCTTGTCCTGTATGGTGGCTGTCTGTACTCCTCTGTGTCTCATTGCCCTGTTTTTTTAGTTATGCCTGTGTTTTATTTTCTTCCTGAGATGATCATATTGGAAATGATTTTGCTGCTTTGGGGGATTTTTCCCCCTATTTTATCCCTTTCATTTTTTTACTGAGGAAGGGAGGAGAGCCCCTTTGCCATTTCCTCAGCCAATCATCCACTAATGTTCTTACAGCCCTGAAGTTGCCCCAGCCCTTTCCCTATATCCTCTGTCCTCAGTTATACTCTGTTGTCATCTATGTCATAACTATCTATGTTGCTTTCACCATATTCTGGGAAAATCAGAACTAAACAGAGTATAATGATGCTGGAGAGAAGACTTCTTTTCAAAGAAGTTTCTGCGTTTTGGCCATTTCTTCTTGCACTGAAGAGCCAGATTTGGAGGATGAGCCATTTGGGACAACTCAGAAATGCAACAGTAGCAACAGAGATGGAGATAGAGCAGAAAGTAGATGTATCCTAGACTCTACTGACCCTTACTAATTTGTCTAACCATAGGTCAGTTTTTTAACTTTAAGTACTTATCTTCCCCAATGTCAAATCAGGCTGATTATAAAATTCATCTCAGGAGGATTTGAGAAATAACCTGAAGTAGTGGAAAACAGTGGGGTGTAGTATTTAGACCATGGATTCTAGGGCCAGACAAGAGGATACCAATTTCCTTTTTCCTATGAGCTGAGTGACACTGGGCAAATTCCATGTGCCTATTATTATCCTCTCTTACAAAATGGTAATCAAAATTGTATGTACATGGAAAGGTGGTTACAAGGGATAAATAAGAATACAATTACAGTGTCTGGCACATAGTAAGTACTTAGTAAATGTTGCCCATTAATACTGTTATTACATATGCAGTGTTACTAATCATTCAGCAAAATTTTTTGGAAGCAGTATACACAGTGGTTCAGCAAGCACAGATTTTAGAACCAGATAGTCTGGACTTAAAACCAAGCTCTGCCATTTAGTAGCTTTTATTCATGGGCAAGTTTCTTAACTTCCCTATATCTAAAGTTCCTCATAAAATGGGGTTTTAATGGTACCTACCTTGTAGGATTATTTAAGTGAATAACTGCAAAGCATTTAGCTGTTGAGGCAAGAATGCACAAAGAAAATGTGATCTATCTATCACATATGTGATACACAATAGAATATTATTCAGCCTTGAAAAAGAAGGAAAGCTTGCTTTTTGTGATAACATGGATGAACCTGGAGGACATTGTGCTAAGTATAATAAAATAGACAAAGACAAATACCATGTCCTTTCACTTATATTTTGAATCTAAAACAGTTTAACTCATAAAGGCAGAGAAGAGAATGGTGGTTACCAGGGGCTGGTGGGGGTTGGGGAAATGGAGAGGTGTTGGTCAAAAGGTAAAAACTTTTAGTTATGCAAGATGAATAAGTTATGGAGGGCTAATATACAGCATGGTGCCCATAGTTAGCAATACTATATTGTTACTTCAAATTTGCTAAAAAAGTAAATCTTAGTATTCTTATCACAAAAAAGCTAACTATGTGAGGGGATGGATATGTTGATTAACTTGATTGTGGTGATCATTTCACCATGCACACATACATCAAAACATCACATTGTATACCTTAAACATATGCAATTTTTACTTGTCAATTACAGCTCAATAAAGCTGGAGAAAAATGCAAAGCATTTAGAATAGTGCCTGGTACATAATATACACTAAGTGTTCACTTTTGCTATTGTTGTTTTTGTTATTAAGTATGTACTATAGATGCTAGAATACAATAATGAGAAAGATAAATCCTGTCCTAGCTCCATGTACCTTCCACAGGATCTGGAGAGAAAGGCAGGATGGTCCAGAGCCCCCTCTAAAGAGGTAGGGAAGACCTTACTAATGAGCAAGTGAGGCAGGCAGCAATCCTGAACAGTTGCATTCCCCAGATTCAGCATCTTCCATTTGTACAAAATGTCCTGCAATGTCTTACTAAAGCTCATGAATACCTAGTGGCGCCAAATTCAAACACCTCTCAGCTCCATTTATATAACAACAAAGACAGAGGTAGGCTCCTTGCTGGAGCCATGGCTAGGGCCAGGACCGGGCACATCCTTATCTGTAGACTTCCAGTGCCCTCATGAAAAAGCACTAGCTCCTTAATATCCTCCAACTCAGATGAGTGGAAGGGAAAAAGAGGAATGCTAGCATCCTATTAGAAGCCACCGCATTTAGGCAGGGAACTTGTGATGACCCAAACAGCATTTATGATGCGCACCTATTTCACCATGACCCTATAAAGGTACTCAGACCACCACCATTAACAAGTGGCATGAGGGTAGCCTGGTTCCAATGGGACCACAGGCAACTATGGCTCAGGAAGGCCTTGTCCCCTTGCCATGACTAAAAGCTGATCTGAGAAACCTCTGAGACTTTGTCAGGTTTCTTCCCCTGGACAGCCCCAGAGTGAGGCAAGACCAGGGAAGGTGCACTGTTGGGCACAGCCTAAATGGGCAGACAAAGCTAAAAGTTGTGAAACAAAATTGATGCAACTCAGCAGTGTGGTGGATTAGTGTCAGTTGTGCAAGAGTCTACTTAGTCCATGTTAGCATTCAGAGAAGGGAAACCACAGTGACTTGATCTGGAGGGTACAGTCAGGGAAGGTTTCCTTGGGGAGGGAGAATGTGTGAACTTGACCTTGAAACCTGGAAGGATCTGAATAGGAGGCCTTGTTGGGGCAGAGTGGAGATATTAGTATGAGCCTAAGTATAGATCTGTAGATAGACCACCCTCACCCCAACTCTGAAAGGTTGTATGGAATTTCCAGGGATAGTGGGGTAGTTATGTAAATTTTAAAATATTCAGTTATCTTTGCTTTGATTTAATTTTAGTCACAATATTTAACTTCCTTTGAAAGCTCAAATGAACCAAAGGAAGCAGTGAGATTTTTAGGTTTATCACAAGGAGTTTTAAATGGCTATGAAACACTGGTCTGGGATCAGGAAAACTTAGCACCGTAGTTATCAGACAAAGGCTGATGCTATGACTTGGAAACTGCTTTGATTTAAGCTTTATACCATTTTCTAAGATAAGGACAACTCTACTAGTTTCATAGTTGAGAAAATGAGGCTCAGAGAGGTTAAATAGTTTGCCCAAGACCACACAGCTAGTAAGTTAAGCAGCCAGGACTCAAACTCAGGGCTTTAGACTAATTCATACTCTTGCCACTGTTCCCTGCTGCTCTGTGGCCTTAGCTACCCTTTCTGGTTGGATTTTCTGAGCAGTGTGTCCATTCTTAATCATTCCTATCTCATCCTTACACTTGCCTTTATGACTAATCTGATGTCTGAAAGCTCACATTCAACCTTCCAGGGAGCCAGAAAGAGTAGGCAAGGGGAGAATTTTAATGGCACAACTCTCTAGCCCTATTCTCCTGCCACAAAGGCAGAATTTTCTCTAGTTCCTTATTATTAAATACCTAAAGAAACAATAGGAGGTTGAGTTGATGCTTTTATTTAAGCTCCAAAATTATGTACATCCTTTCCATTTTTTGAAGGCTGACAATGATTATGCCACACCAACTCAGAGGGGAAGGAAGCTGTAGGCTCAAGTTAGAAATAGAGGGAGGTTGAAGCTGTCAAAGTTCTAGCCAGGTGGGCACCCATCTGTTAGCTGATCCAGACCTGGCTTCCCAGGTATGTGTATTTGTATTATGTATTGTATGGCAGGTTTCAAACCCTTATGAGATCAAACTAGATAATATCAATCTATTTTCCTCAGCTTGTACTGCTTTTGTAGTTAGACTGACAAGGCCCTTTTTTTATGCATATGTCTCACAAAGTGTTCCTGATGATTGTAGAAGTCAGTGAATGGGAGACACCCTATCCTTTGGCCAGGACTGACTGAGCTTGTCCACTTAAGCATGGTAAAAGGAACTCAGGCTCTGAAACAGGCTTGATGCAATATTGACAACTCTGTACAGTTGACCCCTTCCTCTCATGTGAACTTTGTCAGGGGCAGCCAAAAGATCAGAACCCATCTGTACTCACAACATATACAGAATCATTATGGGAGGAAAAAGAACAACATGCTGGTTATTATTTTGCAAAGCAATTTAAAAACACCTCTTTTTTTCCTAGCCTAGGGCTTTGAGGTTGACAGAGCTATGTTGGAAATCCTTAAAGGCAGACTTCCACAGACCTACTGAAAAGCCCTGTTTACCATGCTGTGTGAAGAATTGGAACTGGGAATGTCGCTGACCAAAGACAAATCTTCTGCAGGTAGCCTGCAGCTGAGAAGTGAGACATTTCAGGCAGTTCAGTAGAATGGGAATAGTTTAACAAAACTGTAAAATGTTAATCAATATTAATGAGCATCTGACTGTCAGATTGTCTAGAAGGCCAAATACAAGCAGAGAGGAGAAAGAGCTATCCAGAAAGCGGTCCTTCTACTAGTAGAGGACATCTGTCAGAACAGGGCTCACTGGGGCTCTCCTTGGCCAGATTCTGCCACAACACAAGGGGAAGCTGAGGGCAGTGCTGAGACGAGGGGCACTAAAAGGCCTCTCTGAGAGACCACTACTTATCAAACCTTCCACACAGGCCCACAGGTCATTTCATCTATTCCTCTGCTTTTCTTTTTTTAACTTATGAAACACTTGACATACAAATATATAAAAATAATATGAGCACCCATGTACTTAATATCCAACTTAAGAAATAATTCATTAGAAATATCATCATTCTCCTCTCCCTCTCTGCTCCTTCACTTCTTTTGCCTTCCTTCATCTCCTCTCCCCATTCTCCTCTCTGTAATTTCTTGAATTTGGCACATATTACTATATATGTTTTAATAATTTCATACATATGTAAATACTCCTAAATATTATATGGCATTGTTTCATATGTCTTTAAACCTTATATAAATAGACTAGATATAGATGAGATAAAACTGTATAGAAAAGAAACCAGGATTCCCTAGCCAAGAAGAATAAAGTTCAGCTTCCATTCTACCCACAAAAAAAGAAACGAGGAGAATGATAAGTATGGGATTTAAGATGGATTGCCTTGGCATTGTAACTTTTGTATTATGTGGTGGGTTCACCAAAACTTAATACACTATTAAAAGTAAGTAAGCAAATAAATAGAAAAAATAAGAGCACTGTGTATGGGCTAATGATGAGTGTCTCATGGGCTGAGAGTTAGGATTAATCCAATTCTGTACCCAGTAGCAAAACAATGATAACAACAGATAGGCAATATTCTGTTTGTATCTATCTATAAACACAATAAGATTTGTACAATTTATCCATGTCATGAAGCTTTTTATTCACTTTTACCCCCTTTCTCCTGCCAGACTAGGCCTTCTTCAAAAATCTCCAGTGTGTACTAAGTGTTCAACACTCCGAGATAATCCTTCCTAACCAGGACACTGTGCCCACCCCAGCTACTCTTATCATTCATTCCCCCTCTGATATGCAGGTCTCACTGCCCTGCTTGGATTTCTGAGTACCTCTAGGCAACCAGCCAGCTTATTTCATACCTCTGGAAGGCTTGCAAATATTTTAGAAGAGGAAAGGCCTTTGCACACAGTACTTGTATGGCTTACTGCTTCCTACTTCTCATCAGCAGTCTTACAAACACACACAAGGATGGATGCTGGAGTCTGAAACAGTCTTTGGATGTAAGACAGAGACTTTCTCTAAGAGCGTCTAGTTAACAAACCTGTCAGTGTCATACTGCAAAGCTAACCTGCCCAATTTTAGAACAAATCAACTCCCCATTGATATTCCAAAGCAATGGCAGTGTTAACATCCTGCTGTGCTAAATCTCCTGGTATCCACTCTCTACATACCTCCAACAAAAAGCCTTCTCTTCCTTTCCACTTAGGACCTGATCCGGAGAGATATCCTATACTACAAAGGCCGCATTGACATGGATAAATATGAGGTAGTCAACATTGAAGATGGCAGAGATGATGACTTTAATGTCAGCATGAAGAATGCCTTCAAGCTTCACAACAAGGAAACAGAGGAGATACATTTATTCTTTGCCAAAAAACTGGAGGAAAAAATACGCTGGCTTAGGGCCTTCAGAGAAGAGAGAAAAATGGTACAAGAAGATGAAAAAATAGGTAAGTGACCTGAGAGGAGAAAAAAGAATATGACTATGAAGAACATAGACACTTTGAATTAGTTTTCATTTTTCTTCAGGCATAGGGAAGATTTATGTTACAAACTGACCTAATCTACTTTGGTGGTTCCCTATAATTAGGTTCTCTTTGGTAGATACCAGTAGTTTCCATGAGTCAGGGTTAAGTAAGTGTTATAGGTTAGCCTCCCCTACAGTCTTATTATTCGGTAAGACTATTATACTGAAAGCAAACCTCAGACAAACATTTATTAGCAAACAAACACAAAAGCAGTCTATAAACCTGTTCTATAATCTCAGTGAAGTCCCAGCTCTGTTCTTAGTAATATGACAGCATCTTCTGTAAAAAGGTTAGGCAAGGCAGATTTGGTAATATTAAAGCAACAGGATTCAGCTAACTTTCCACTCAGTGCCTGGTGACAAAATCCTTTGATGAGGGCTAAGACATAGCACCTGTTTTCAATCTTAAGCTTCAAGCATCCTTCTGAAGGGCATAGGGTAGAGCACTCATGGATTTTTTTTTCAAAGGTATCATTGATATATATATATATATATAATCTTATGAAGGTTTCACATGAGCAACATTGTGGTTACAACATTCAACCGTAATATTAAGTCACCCCCGACACCCCATTGCAGTCACTATCCATCAGCGTAGTAAGATGCTAGAGTCAGTACTTGCTTTCTCTGTGCTATACTGCCTTCCCCATGACCCACCTGCATTATGTGTGCTAATCATAATGCCCCTTAATTCTCTTGTCCCTCCCTCCTCACCCACACCACACACCCCCAACCCCTTCCCTTTGGTAACCTCTAGTGCCTTTTGGAGTCTGAGTCTGCTGCTGTTTTGTTCCTTCAGTTTTGCCTTGTTCTTATACTCCACAAAGGAGTGAAATCATTTGGTACTTGTCTTTCTCCTCATGGATTTTTATAACCAGTTCTTGTGAAGGCTGAAGTGCTTGTAAGACATTTATGGACAGTGAACATCTTGAATAGCATTCATTTTACCAATGAAAATTCATTTTTTTATTTTATTTTTTTAATTTTGGTATCATTAATCTACAATTACATGAAGAACATTATGTTTACTAGGCTCCCCCCTTCACCAAGTTCCCCCCACATACCCCCTTCACAGTCACTGTCCGTAAGTGTAGTAAGATGCTGTAAAATCAGTACATTTCTTCTCTGTGTTGTAGAGCCCGCCCTGTACCCCCTCCACAATATACATGCTAACCGTAATGCCCCCTTTATTTTTCCCACCCTTATCCCTCTCTTCCCACCTATCCTTCCCAGCCCCTTTCCTTTTGGTAGGTGTGAGTCCATTCGTGAGTTCTCTGAGTCTGCTGCTGTTTTGTTCCTTCAGTTTTGCTTTGTTCTTATACGCCACAGATGAGTGAAATCATTTGGTACTTGTCTTTCTCCACCTGGCTTACTTCACTGAGCATAATACCCTCTAGCTCCATCCATGTTGTTGCAAATGGTAGGAGTTGTTTTCTTCTTATGGATGAATAATATTCCATTATGTATATGTATCACATCTTCTTTATCCATTCATCTACTGATGGACACTTAGGTTGCTTCCATTTCTTGGCTATTGTAAATAATGCAGCAATAAACATAGGGGTGCATCTGTCTTTTTCAAACTGGAGTGCTGTATTCTTAGGGTAAATTCCTAGAAGTGGAATTCCTGGGTCAAATGGTATTTCTATTTTAAGCATTTTGAAGACCCTCAATACTGCTTTCCACAGTGGTTGAACTAATTTACATTCCCATCAACAGTGTAGAAGGGTTCCCCTTTCTCCACAACCTCGCCAACGTTTGTTGTTGTTTGTCTTTTGGATGGTGGTGATCTATCGTGTCCCACCACCTAGGGCGACAGCAGGAGAACAATCACCGAAGGCCTGGTTCGTTAGGAATCTTTATTATGGGCGTCCAAGCATCCATCTAGCAAAAGGCAAAAGCAAAAAACAACAACCACAACCACCCCCACTTCCTCCAGGGCAGCAGCTTATATAGCATATCCCAACCAATCAGCTGACTGATCACGCGCCAGGTTCAGTCTTATTGGAAACATGTGAAAAGCATGCTATGAGCACGAGCACGGAAATGGGGACAAGCCAATCATGGAGACTTCCTTATGCGCTGAGCTGTAGGACCAGGAAGGGTGGTGTCTAGGAAGCAGGCGCCATCTTTAGGGCGTTGTCCAGCTAGAGTGGGGCTCAGCCTCGGCCGTAGGCTGGGCCCCCACAGTGATCCTTACTGGTGTGAGGTGATACCTCATTGTGGTTTTATTTTGCATTTCTCTGATGACAAGCGATGTGGACCATCTTTTCATGTGTTTGTTGGCCATCTGAATTTCTTCTTTAGAGAACTGTCTATTCAGCTCCTCTGCCCATTTTTTAATTGGATTATTTGTTTTTTGTTTGTTGAGGTGTGAGAGCTCTTTATATATTTTGGATGTCAACCCTTTATCGGATCTGTCACTTATGAATATATTCTCCCATACTGTAGGGTACCTTTTTGTTCTATTGATGGTATCCTTTGCTGTACAGAAGCTTTTCAGCTTGATACAGTCCCATTTGTTCATTTTTGCTTTTGTTTCCCTTGCCCGGGGAGATATGTTCATGAAGAAGTCACTCATGTTTATGTCCATGAGATTTTTGCCTATGTTGTTTTCTAAGAGTTTTATGGTTTCATGACTTACATTCAGGTCTTTGATCCATTTTGAATTTACTTTTGTGTATTGTGTTAGACAGTGATCCAGTTTCATTCTCTTACATGTAGCTGTCCAGTTTTGCCAGCACCATCTGTTGAAGAGACTGTCATTTCCCCACTGTATGTCCATGGCTCCTTTATCAAATATTAATTGACCATATATGTTTGGGTTAATGTCTGGAGTCTCTAATCTGTTCCACTGGTCTGTGGCTCTGTTCTTGTGCCAATACCAAATTGTCTTGATTACTGTGGCTTTGTAATAGAGCTTGAAGTTGGGGAGCAAGATCCCCCCCCACTTTATTCTTCCTTCTCAGGATTGCTTTGGCTCTTCGGGGTCTTTGGAGGTTCCATTTGAATTTTTGAACTATTTGTTCCAGTTCATTGAAGAATGCTGTTGGTAATTTGATAGGGATTGCATCGAATCTGTATATTGCTTTGGGCAGAATGGCCATTTTGATGATATTAATTCTTCCTAGCCAGGAGCATGGGATGAGTTTCCATTTGTTAGTGTCCTCTTTAATTTCTCTTAAGAGTGTCTTATAGTTTTCAGAGTATAGGTCTTTCATATCCTTGGTTAGGTTTATTCCTATGTTTTTTATTCTTTTTGATGCAATTGTGAATGAAATTGTTTTCCTGATTTCTCTTTCTATTAGTTCATTGTTAGTGTATAGGAAAGCCACAGATTTCTGTGTGTTAATTTTGTATCCTGCAACTTTACTGTATTCCGATATCACTTCTAGTAGTTTTGGAGTGGAGTCTTTAGGGTTTTTTAT